TTCAGGATTCCACCTAAGGCCGCATACTCTACAAAGGATCTTTCTCATTTTCAATGACCCTCTACCAAACATGATATCATTGTCCAGGGTCTGCTCTCTCCTGATAATGTGTCCAGAGTATATGAGATGAAGCCTAGCCATCCTCATTTCTAAGGAGCATCCTGACTGTACTTCTTACAATACAAGAAAAACAAATAAGTCTGTTTGGGAAGAAAATACACATTACTAGTTAAATTTAATGATTTTAATCTAAAAGGTGTTGAGAATAATATCTAAAATAGCATTGAAATATTCAAATGTAAATAACCCATTTAATTTTGCATTTCTTTATAAATTTGTTGTATATTTTTAATAGTGCAATAGATTAAGTAAATTTATCATTGAAATTTCAACTTTGAAAAATATGTTGAAAAGTTTTATAAACTTACTGTGTAGAAATATTCAACTATTTAAAACTACATAATTAAGTGGAAGCAATTATTTTATTTTAAATATATACATATATAAGTTCAATTTATTTAATATATCATAACACATTGTCTTATAACTGCCATGTTATAAGATCAAATTTAGAATATAAGTTTATCTAAAGAATAATTTAAGCATGAAAATGTTAGTTAGGTTAATTAGTTAACTCTGTATGATTTACAGACTGTATTTTGATATAAATAATCCATGTTTATATGTTTGTTTTTTTGTCAGTCATGCCCTTCTTTTGCAAAGTAGTTTTCCAAGCACACTATGCAGTTTTTGTTTTGACACATAGCACACTTAGGAAGATACTTAGGGAGAGGGGGAGCACAGGTTTGGTAAAATAACATAAACTACATATTATTTGTGTGAAAACATGGAATTCTAAAATTCAGAATACTTAGAGAAATATTTAAATGCTGGTTTTTAAACTATTAATTAAATAGCATTACTAAATCAGTAAGTTAGAAAAGAGACATTTGTTAACATATCCATAGCACCACTCATGTCCCTGTTGATAATGCATAGCCAGTTAACACTTGAACTGTATGAACTATGGATTGGCACAGTGGCTGCTATTATGGGCTCACACATAGCCACAATTGTGAGTATGATGCAGGACTGGACAAAGTTTTCTTCTGTTGTACATAGTAGGGTCTCTATGAGTCAGAACCAACTCCAAAACTCCTAGCAATAACATACAGAAGGCTGTTTGATTTTTTTGAATCATTAGCTCATTTTGGAAAAAGTAATCTTAAACTATAAAAAATAATACAGTTATAGAACACATCTGTATATGTGTGTGTGTCTGTGTGTGCATGCACAGATGTGTACACACACCATTTCCCATAGTTTACCTCTACTGGAAAACAATCATCAATAGTACATAGTATACAATTAATATCAGTGGATTGGCAGCCATTTAGATCTGTAGTAACATTAATCATTACATGCACCTCAAGAAATATAAACAAAGCATTCACCTATTCAACAATTTATGCATGTCTTATTCAGTGAGGAGTCCTAGTATGGTGCTATGTCTTAATGTGCTGGGATGCAAAGTCAGTTTGAACTGCAAGGTTGGCAATTCCAGCTCATCAACTGCTCCTCTGAAACCCTATAGAGGGCTACTATGGGTTGGAGCAAGGAGCTCTGGTAGCGTAGTGGTTACGAATCGGGCTGCTAACCTCAGGGTCAGCATTTCAAAACTACCAGCTGTTCCGCGGGAGAAAGATGAGACTTTCTGCTCCCATAAAGATTTACAGCCTCGGAAACCTTGTACAGGGTCATTATGAGTCAGAATCAACTCCATGGCACATTACCACCACCATGGGTTGGAGCAGATGTGACAGAACGTAACAACAACAACAATTCCATGACACTGACTATATTCTTCATGTTGTGCAACCATTCTCACCATCCTTTTTCAAATAATTCCACCACCAATTAAGATAAGCTGAATGATTCCTAAGCTAAAACTTCCTCTCTCCCAATCCCTCCCACTACTAGTAATCAATGATAATCTTTGGTTTCTATTTTGCTGTTTACATCATATAAGTGAAATCCTATAGTATTTGTTCTTTTGTGACTGATTTCTTTTACTTAGCATAACATTCATCTATATTGTGGTCTATATTAAGACTTCATTTCTTCCATTGAGTTTTCAATGGCTGATTTTTCAGAAATAGATTGTTGTTGTTGCTACATGCTGTCGAGTCATTTCTGACCCATAGCAACCTTGTATAGGGTTTCTGAGGAGCAGCTGGTGAGCTTGAACCACCGGCCTAGCATTTCAAATGGCTTTAAAGTCTGGCACATTAACCCACAGCGCCACACCTGAAGTAGATTACCATATCTTTGTTCTAGTGTAAATGCATTTTAAATTGTGATCCAGTGTCATTTCATTTAATCTCCCTGAATGATATATAATCATGTCCCTTACTGTCAATGTGGACATCCTTATACTTTAAAAAGCACTATTAATGTGTGTGTGCATTTAAAGTTAGTTGTTACACCGACAAGGTGCCATCTCACAGCAACCTTATGCAAAACAGAAGGAAACACTGCCTGATCCTGCTCTAACCTCACAATCACTGCTACACTTGAGCCCATTAGTGCTGCCACTGTGCCAATCCATCTCTTTGTGGGTCTTCCTCTTTTTCACTGATCCTCCACTTTACCAAGCATGATATCCTTCTCAAGGGACTGGCCCTGCCTAATAATTTGTTCAAAGTATGAGAGATGAAGTCTAGACATCTTGGTTTCTATGGAACATTCTGGCTATAATTCTTCCAACACAGATTTGTTGTGCTTTTGGCGGTCCATGGTTTTTCCATTATCCTGATTTTTTTTTTTTTTTAATGGTTTTATTGTGAATTGAGTGAAAGTTTACAGGGCAGAATATTAGTTTTACATTAAAAAACTCATACACCTTGTTTCATTATAATGATTCTAATACCCTCCATGTACCATCAGTTACCAGTATTTCTCTCTATTCATTTTAGCTCTTTTTTTAAAAAACTAAGGCTTGCGATTGTGCGGATCATGACAAGCTATGGACAACATTGCAAAGTATGATTATTCCAGAACACTTAATTGTACTTCTGGACCAAGAAGCAGTAGTTCGAACAGAGCATGGGAACACTGAATGTTTTTAAATTGGGAAAGGTGTGCAACAAGGTTGTGTTCTTTCACCATACTTATTCAACCTGTATGCTGAGCAAATAATACAAGAAGCTGGGTTCTATGAAGAAAAACGTGGCATCAGGATTGGAGGAAGACTCATTAACAACCTGCGATATGCAGATGATACAACCTTGCTTGCTGAAAGTGAAGAGGACTTGAAACATTTACTGATGAAGATCAAAGAACACAGCCTTCGGTATGGGTTGCATCTCAGTGTCAGAAAAGCAAAAATCCTCACCACTGGACCAATAAACAACATTCTTATCAATGGAGAAAAGATTGAAGTTGTCAAGGACTTCATTCTTCTTGGATCAACTATCAACACTCGTGGAAGTAGCAGTCAAGAGATCAGACAACGTATTACATTGGGCAAATCTGCTGCACAGGAACTTTTTAAAGTGTTGAAGAGCAGAGATGTCAGCTTGAGGACTAAGGTGCACCTGACCCAAGCCATGGTATGTTCAATAACCTCATATGGATGCGAAAGCTGGACAGTGAATAAGGAAGATCGTAGAAGAATTAATGCCTTTGAGTTGTGGTGTTGGAGGAGAATACTGAAAGTGCCATGGACTGCCAAAAGAACCAATAGATGTGTTTTGGAAGAAGTGCAGCCAGAGTGCTCCTTGGAGGCCAGGATGGCTAAGCTTCGTCTCTCATACTTTGGACATATTGTCAGGAGGGAACAGTTGCTGGAGAAGGATGCCATGCTGGGTAAGATGGAGGGTCAGAGAAAAAGAGGGAGACCCCCCCAACAAGATGGATTAGCAAGGTGGCATCATTGGTGGTGTCAAGTGTGGCAGCGGTGGTGGGGTTGGCCCAGGATCGGACATTGTTTCGTTCTGCTGTGCATGGGGTTGCTATGAGTCGGTTCTGACTTGATGGCACCTGACAACAACAACAACAACAACAACAACAACAACAACAAGGCATATATGATAATTTACACGATCAAAGGGCACATTCTGCAAGTCTGCCTTCTGGCCACCAGCTCTCCATCCCTCTTCCCATGAATCTAGAGTCCTCAGCTGCTCCCTCTCTCCATGGCCCCATTTCTGCCTCCATGTCTGGTGTCGCTGCTTCTCTGGATAATGTCACACATTCCACTTGTGCTCTTCTCCCTTGATGGTCCTAGGGTCCTCTATTTCCGGACTATAAGATTAACTACTCCTCTGTTTTTGTTACAAATCTTCTGCCTTTACAATTGTGACAGTCGCAGTTAGTTACATGGTACTTTCAATATCCTCCTCCAACACCATAATCCAAATGCATCAATTTTTCTATGAACTTCTTTACTCTTTGTCTAATTATCACATGTATATGAGGTTATTGAAAATACCATAACTTTGTATCAGGAACACCTTAGTCCTCAAACTGACAACTTTGTTCTTGAACTCTTTAAAGAAGTCTTGTGTAGCAGATTTTCCTAATGCAATATGTTGTTTCATTTCTTGACTACTGCTTCCATGAGAATTGATGGTTGGTCTGAGCAAAAGGAAGTCTTTGACAACTTCAATCTTTTCTCTATTTATCTTGATGTTATTTATTGGTTCAATAGTGAGGATTTTTGTTTTGTTTATATTGAGGTACACCCATGCTGAAGGCTGTGGTCTTTGACTTTCATAAGTAAATATTTTGAGTCCTCTTCACTTCAGCAAGCAAGGTTGTATCATCTGCATATAGCAAGTTGGTAATGTGTCCTCCTCCAATTCTGATGCCACATTTTTCTTTCTATAATACAGCTTCATGAAAGTTTAACTTTTTAAAATTAGTAAACTCAGCAGCAATGTACTTCACAGTTATATTTCTAACTTTGAATAAACAGTTTCATTCATTTATATTAAAACATGTTGACTTTTCTGGGTATGTGTGATCCTGACTTCTGAGATAAAATGTGTGTATATAAATTAAAATATGTTGTACATGCACAAATAAAAGAACTTTAGCAATAATAAGTAAAATAAATTTTGTATGTGTTTTTACAGCTTGCAGACCAGGATTCTATAAAGCCTTTGCTGGGAACATAAAATGTTCTAAATGCCCTCCACACAGCCTAACCTACAAGGAAGCAACTTCTGTCTGTCAGTGTGAAAAGGGTTATTTCCGAGCTGAAAAAGACCCACCTTCTATGGCATGTACCAGTAAGTCTCACCCATTTTGCATTTGCAAATACTATTTTCAGACTCATTAGTCTCTTTATTTTAAGTTTACTTTTTAAAAAATGAAAAACCCAAAATCCTCTATCATAAATATGATTTTTCTTTGACAAAATTCAAGGAAAATTTTCTCTTTCTTTATAGCAAAGTTGCTTTTCAGCGGCTTGAAAAGAATGTGTTTACTGCTCATAATTCACATTGACACTTGATGTTCAAATATCAGTTTCGGTTAAGGAACCCTGTGATCTTTCCCTAATCCTAAGCTATCCTTTTGAAATTAATCCAGTTGAAATTGATAAACATAAGTTCTGTGCTTACCTCAATATTTAGCCAGGAGCAGCAAATTTTACTATGTGATAGTGCTTCCAGATGAAACTTTCGAAGTCATTTTATGCAGAAAAGTTGATATTCCCTTGATGTTTGTCTTTGAATGGAGATATTTTTGAGTTTGTACACATTTTACTTCTCTCAGTCTCTACATTTTGGTGATTAGAACTAATAGAATATTAATTAAAAAGTGAAGGATATTTTAATGTAAGACCAGAGAATTTTTAAATATTTTCATTTTTCTTTTTAAAATTAATATGAAATATTTGTTCATTTAAAAATAAAAGTGAATATAGTAATGCATTGCTATATATACAAGATCATCCTTATATAGTTAGAAAATATTGCTACAAACATATTATATTTACAATCTACTCTTATTGGTGATTATCTTATATGAAAATGTTTATTTTATATAATTCTATAAAAGCAAAAATAGACTGAGTATTATATAATGTTACATGTTCCTTGGCAACTGGTGTGGCACTGTAGGATAAACACTAGATTGCTAACCACAAGGTCCACAGTTCAAAGTCACCAATCACCCTTCAAACACCCTATACATGGTAGCTATGAGTTGGACACTAACTTGACAGCACTTAATGACATAACAAACATATTCCTTAGACAATGGTGGAGATGTCCTATTTTTTAAAGTTAAAGGATGCAGTTCAACTAAGTATAAGTATGACACCATAAAATCTCAGAGAAAACACAATTCCAGCTTACATAAAGAAATAGGACAAAGTGATAAAAAAAAAAAAACACCAAAATACAGTCATAACACCAGAAATTATATCAGAACTGCTTGATAAGGATTTTAAAATAATGCTAATTAGGAAACTTCAATGAATTAAGAGAAAGATCACTAAAACTATACATGAAATCAAGGAAGACATAGAAAAAAACTATGGAAAAAAAATCAGGAAACAAACTGACAAAAAAAATGGGAATCATACAAAATCAGCAAGTAGAAAGCCAGAACATTAACCATGTTGTGGTTATTGTTAATAACCGTGGAGTTGGTTCCAACTCATAGTTACCATGCACAGGGTTTATGAGGCTGCAAATCTTTATGGGAGCAGAAAGCCTCATCTTTCTCCTGTGGAACAGCTGGTAG